GGTTTACTCTCACCTCTCTTGTTCTTCATTTGGATTGGGTGCTTCGGAGGAGGTCCTAACTTGATTTTTTTTTTTGAACCCCTGAGTTGGTTTGGATCTTATCCAAAAAGCAGTAGATTTCTTGCTTAGTCTACTTGTATTCACTTTGAAGCTATAGTCCTTATGATCACCCAATCCAAACTCCTCTGACAACCCTGACACATAATAACAACAAATAATGACATGGAACACTTATAGAAGGTCATCATGTTCTAAGCACTATGAGCAACACTTTTCATGCATTATCTGTTTTAGTCATAATTATAACTTTGTAAAAAGGTTTCTACTATTGCCCATTTTAAGATGAAATAACTCAGGCTTAAAGATGAACCAGGATTCTAAACAAGGGCTACCTGATTCCAAAACCTGCCTGTTACCCCTTGCTATTACAGCCCTCAAAAACAAAAGACATTTAGCCCAGGCATTAACTCAAGACCCTTCTCTGTCCCCGACCCCACATAACCCTACAACTATTTACGGGCCAATAATTGAGTTATAGCATACCTGGAAACTCTTTAAAAATAAAGTCCAGCCCAATTCAGCCAGCTTACTATAAATGCTTACCACTACCCACCCCCATTCAAACACACACCTGTTTTTCCCTTGCCTTTTTCCTTGCCTTAATAGTTAAAGACAATGGTAAGTATACGTATAGGTAGAAAGGTGTTCAGTGTGCTGAAACAGGACTAGTATCCAGCAAAAATTCAAAATAATTTATTTTTCTTTGTTATTTACCCTTTCAACGTTATTCTCTTAATGTTGCTGAAACCCCGCCTCCGTACCCCGCTTACTGAATTAAGACTCAAGGACAGAGTTTTGGATAAAGTAGAAAAGGCAGCTTTAGTTCTTTGCCAGGCAAAGGAAGTCACAGTGGGCTAAATGCTTCCAAGACTGTGAGCCTGCTGGGGAGAGAAGACAGGGAGGTTTATAATAAAAGTTCAAGAGTTCAAGGGGTGCAGCCAGTTTCCATAGAGATCACATACAGTTAACAAATTATTGCAAAGCGGTTTTTGTTTTTGCAGATGCAGTGGTCCCCTTCCCACTGCTGGTTCACCAGCAGAAGTTCACCTCTGGCTTTGGGACTCTTCTAATGTTCTTGTGCCTACAGCAAAGGGTGCATAGGAAGGGGGTCTATGGAAGAGAGCTCCAGAGAAAACCGTGTACAATTTAAAGTCGGGTTGATAAATGCTTCCAGCATTTCAGGCAGGCTGAGACCTGGGATCTCTTGCTGCAGGCTGAGACCTGCACCTCAAACAACAGAATACAGAGAAACCACAAACGGCTAAAAATAACTGCAGATGTGTGCAAGTTAAAGTGAATTATAAACAATAAAGTGCATAAAACACCCAACTGCCTTTTCTGAGAAGCTGGGGGCAAAAGCAGGGCACTGGGGTCAGAAGCAGGGCACTGAGCATGATCCCCACATTCAACACCATGAGGGGACTGGGCAGACCACCCAAGTCCCCCACCTCTTCAGCCTAACCCTGGCTGGCAAGAGCATGAGAAAAGCCATTTAAATTACTACACAGCTAAGCAGTTACAAATGCCATGTGGTCACCAATGACAATAGGGTCTTGCTTGCTTACACTAAGTCATCTTCTGGGAAACCATCCTCTCCCTTTCTTCTGCCCCTTTCTCAGAAATATTTCCATGTCCTCTGATTATCTCATCATAGTCCACTGTGCTCATATTCCAAACATTTCCTAGTTAACTGAATCCCCCTTGGGCACTTGAGGTTAGAGATGCAAACTAGTTACATTACACTATTGTAACAGACTGATAATGCTGCTATTTGTGTCCCACTAACTGGCCCACCCACACCCCCTCCCCATTCTTTCTGTGTTCACCCACTGACACTCCTAACTATGGCTTTAAATGTTCTTTAGGGAAGATTTTGTTTGTTCATTCATTTCACTTGGCTTCAATTATTAGACAGAGAGATTGTCTGACACGATAAACTCTGGGCATCTGTCCATTTTTATTTTCTTCTGGGAGTTCTTATAATCTGTCATTTTGTGCTTTTGGATGTTGGGAACACCTCGCCAGCTTGCAAAACAGAATTAGTAAAGAAGAGGGGGCAGCTAGTACAATTTCTGAGGAGGCCTCAACATCTTCTATCTTCTAGTGCACACTTTTCCAAAGCTTGGCTCATAAATTCTTGGTCTGTGCACACTGAGATAATACTTATTATTTGTATATGAACACATTAAAATTTATGCTAAATTACCATGCAACTTATTGAACAATACACATACTTTAAAATGTGTGTCACATTGGTTGTTGCAGATTTATTTCAACATGAAGCTCCACATCGTGTCAGCCTTTACAGTCCATAGCACACAACAGTCAACTTGCAATCTACACAACTTGAACAGACACCAAGACTGAGATGGGGGACTCTCTTACATCCATCTTTCACTGGTTACCTTAGATTTGGATGGCTTATTTCAGTTGTATTCTCTGAGAATCCAGAGTGTCTTGGAGTTTCTAAGGTGCCCAGATGAAGATGTGATAAGTGTCAACATATAAATCCAAATGATCTGTCATCTCTTATATGGATTGAAGAAGGATTATGGGAGATATGAAGGAATTTCTGCTTCCCTCTCACTTCTACATCAATGCGTACAAGTCTATCCCCGTCTTGGTTGGTCACAGAGCCAGGATTCCAAGCCAAATGAACATAAGGAGATTATAGAGAAAGAGCTTCTCTAAGGAGGCAGCATGTCTGTTCCTGTGTCCCCAGGTCCTAAAACACAGCCTGGCACCTAGTAGACATCCAACACATTTTTATTAAATAAACTTAAAACATTTACACTGATATCAATGACTGTCACTTATTAAGAACTTGTCAGGTACCAGACACTGTGCTGAGCAGTTCATACACCAAACAACACCCAGGGCAACGTGACTGCTATCTCACCTCTGAGAAAACTGAGACAGAAGTGGCTTATTCAAAATGATTAAAAACTAGGTCAAGGCTTGCAAATGTAGGTGACCCCCCGCTCAGTCTAATATAAAGAACTCTCCTCCACCCTGCTATCTCCACACAGGCTCTAGAAGACATTTCCCTCCTTCTCTTGAAACAAATTCCTGCAACTCTTTCCCTGATAATCAGCTCTTTTCAGTTCCCTTGTGGTTCCATTTTTCTATCATATCTAGTTTTTCTTTGTCTCTCTGTCTCTGCTTGCTTTTCTTCAGTTTTTAAAATCCTTGTCTTCAGCAACAACAAAAGTCTCCCCTTAACTCTGTCACCCTTTCTAGATCCTTTCAAAGCCAAAGTCCTTGGATGGTTCTGACACAGTGCCCCACAATTTGGCTTCTGACCCCATTGTTTTACTTAAACTTGTGTCTGGGATATTAATCACTAGAACTTTCCTATCAGTTCTGTGTATCATTTTATAATTTGCCAAATAGTCTGAGAGACATTTGGTTAAATTCTCCTTTATAGGCCTTAAATTTACTCTCTATTTAATGATTTTCTCCCTCCTCTTTGAAAAAAAAACACAACTCTGGTAAGTTGTCACTGTTATATACCATTTTTAAGTAACTCAAACAAAATTATCTGTACCCTTTTCATGAAATAAACACAAAGACACACAAGCAGTTCTCTTCAAGTTTGTAGGAATTTAGCAGATGAAACACCACGTGATCGTATTAGGCGATGGGGTCTTGAGGGTTAAGATGAGATGAGGTCATGAGGGTGGAGCACGTGAATGGGATTTGTGCCCTTATGAGAGTCACGAGAAAACTTGCTGTTTCTCTCTGCTCTCCACTACAGAGCACACTGTGAAAACACAATGAGAAGTCAGCAGTCTACAACCTGAAAGAAGGCCCTCACCAGAACTTGACACTGATCTTGAACTTCCAGCCTCCAAAACCATGAGAAATAAATCTCTGTTGTTTGTCAGTTGCTCAGTCTATGGTACTTTGTTAGAACAGCCCAAAAGGACTGAATTCCAGCAATAGGAAGCTGTTTATATCTCCACACAGTTTTTCAATCACCCCACTTTTCAAATTACTTGAATTTTCAAATGTAATACCCACATATGCGTCTTTCAAGGGTCAGCCAAGGATTTGGAGGGAGCTTGATTATAGACTGTGATACTTCTGCCAGATGCCTTCCTCCTTTCGGGACACTCTCATTCAATATGCAGTGGTTAGCAGGCATTTGGTCCTGTCCATAACGTCCCTATGATATTTGGTCCACGCCAAAAAGTCCTTGATATTCGGTCCTGTCTAAAACCATTTGGCATGGACCAAATTCTTATGGGCACTTTGGACAGGATCAAATGTCCTGCAAGGGTAATGATAAGTTTCTTTGTAAGAGGGAGGAAGAGGAAGATTTGAAGACATAAGACAAGGCTATGTGAAGATGATGGAAGTTGAAGGAGAAAAGGTAGTATGTGATGCAAGGCCAGAAGCCAAGGAATGTGGAGAGCTTCTGTAAGCTTGGAAGGCAACGGAATGATTCTCCCCTAGACTCCAGAAGGAACCGGCCTTGCCAAAACTTTGATTTTCATCCCATAAGACACATTTCAGATTTCTGACTACCACAAATATATATATTTTTGCTTTAAGCCACTAAATTCATGGTAATTTGTTACAGTAGGATACCAGAGGAGACAATTTTCAAAGCAGACTTTTTATTTTCAAATATGTCTTCTTCAAAGAAGAAAATATTACTTCCAGAGGGTTATCTTGGCACTAATGATTGATATTGGGTAATTTTAATTCTGAGATATTTGTCACCGCAAAGGAAAAGTATGACACCGAAGGGTCAAGCTTCTAATTTTCTGTAATATGGAGGAGAAGGAAGACCAAAATATTATACAAGTGTGGGCTTAAGCAGTGCATAAATCCCAAATCATTGGATGGTTTTTGTGCTAATGTAAATTACTACGTTTGTCTGCAATGATGTTTGTTCACTGATAAGAAAGCCTTGAAATGGACAATGGCGCCAGTCAGCAGTACTTCTCTGGGGTGCATTTCCACTGATGCCAGCCACAAAGACAAACCTTCCACCCAAAACTTCCTACTGCCTCTTGAAGTGTTTCTTTCCCTTCTGCCACATGTAAATAAAATGGCATATTTTTCTGAGCAAGATAATTTGCATAGTGATAACCTATTTGAAACATGTTGCCCTGGCCTCGATATTTTGGCACAGTGTAACCCATTCTCAACTCACAGGACTGTTCCATCACAATCCAAGAGATTTGGTGCCCCTCTGGACCCAGCACACCTAATCCTGGAAAATTCTGGAGACAGTGCTCAATATATTTCAAACTTCTCTCATTTTTTCCAAAGTCCCAGTGCTCATTTACAAGCTGTGCATGTGAGACATCCAAGAAGATGTTCGTAAAGTTTCCTTCCCTGTCCAGAAAAAAAAAAGTGCATTTATTCAGCCAACATTTACAAAACATCAGTATTGCAGAAAGTGAATATGAAACCATCCCTTTCCTTAAGGATCCCACAGCCTAGAGAAGGAAACAGAGGCACAAACACACACAAATACACACATATGCTACTATTTATAAGTCTGCTTCAAAATCTTCCCAAATAACTGAGAGAGAAAAAACCCTATGTACTTTATGATCCATTTCATAGCAGAGAGTCGGCAAGATATAGTATAATATATTTCAAAAAAGTCCAACCAAATACCTTAAGAAAGGAGACAATGAGCATATGTTCCTAAAAGAGTGAGGATTACAGGCAGAGCAACCCTCCACATGGCTGAATTTTCTTTGAAAATCCATGTATGAAACATGAGAATTTTGTAGGTGATTGAGAGGTACAAACTATGTATAAAAAAGATAGGCTACAGGGACGTATTGTACAGTACAAGGAGATATAGCCATTATTCTGAGGATCAATGAAGTATGATCTATAAAAATGTTGAATCTCCATGCTGTACACTTGAAACTAATAGGATCTTGTAAATAAACTATACTTCAATTTTTAAAATGTGGATTTTGAATTCTACTCCACAAAACATACAAATACGCAGGATAATATTTCTTTCAACAGATATTTCAATCAAATGTACATCACAGGCAGATGAAAGCCATGTTGCTCTCCTGGCTTCATCTGTCTTAAAGCCCATAACCACATAGCTCTACAGAAGCACAAAAATGCAGTTTAAGAAGCATGAATATAGGAAAAAGAATATTGGGGGTTTTGGTGGTAACAATCAGGGTTTTAGTCCTGATTCACTCCTTGGACAAGTCATCTGACTGAGTTTTCTCATCTGTAGGAAGGGGTGGGGGTGTGCGGCAAGGGGAAGAACTCTAAGAAGTTTTACACCTCGTTGAGGAGGAAGCGTTTTCAGCAATTTGTCAATTTCAAAGTCACTCCATGTTTGCTAGTGGTGCCATCACCGGGTGCTAAACTGTCTACTCATGGGTGAGGCATTCTGTTTTCGCTGTCTTGAATGCTTGATCCTGATCCTGGCCCGACTTCCTCAAAGATCTTGAGCAACCTCACCTGCCTTCTTCCTGTAGTATAGTCAAACCCAGAGTGACAAGACATCAAGATATGCATTTGGGCTTAGAGGAAAGAAAGAATCATCTTAGGACAGACACTTCATTCCAGATTTCCAGAATTATAGTATCAAGTATTATTTAATTTCCATTTAGTATTTTTCCCTGTGCATATGTTTCTCTTAAGATACTTGTAGGAACACAGTTGAACCAAAGCAGGATTTGAATATTGTTGACTCTCCTGGCTAAGTCAACTGTATGTATCTGAAGTGTATTTAGAATTTTTTTCTGAAGTAGTGAAATAATTATAAAGCATAAATGGATATTAATGGGAAATAATTATTTCTTTTTTCTCTGGTCTCCTATTACACAGTTACCTTCTCTAGAGGTAGCTAGTGATGCAATATATTTATGTAACTTTCCAGAGGCATTGCATGGAATTTTTCATGTACATATACTATGATGGCATACTGTATACGCTGTTCTATCCATCTTGTTGTTTCACTTAGCAATATATTTTGTAGTTCTTTATTTATCGGTTCACATAGAGCTGCTTGTTAAAGTCTTGTTAATGACTGCATATTATTCCAGTGTTTGTATTGTACCATAATGAATCTATCCATGTCCCTACTGAAGGACACTCAGGTTTTTT